TGTAACTTTGTAACCTTCTGATTGGAGAAAGAAATTGTCTTACAATTTCATAACATAGTCTCACTAACTGTTTTCTGAAGTTGTTCATTAAAATAAGCAAACTTGTTTTAAAATACATACATAAATGTAATGGAGAAATAGAGTTTTTAAAGTAACTGCTGACAACTGTCTGTGATAAGAAAATTCCAATGCATGTGGGGGGAGCGATTCTCCGGCAGAGCTCTAAGCACAGCTGCTCTACCTTCCCTCTCCCCCCCCCGCTCAAACAGCTCTGTAAACATTCTTTTGTTGCTTCTGTATTTTACAGTTAGCTTTAAGGTAGACTTATTTGGTGGAATACCTAGCTCAAAAATATCTTATTTGACAGGGGCAGTTTTTGCCGGAGCAAAAAGGGAAAAATAAATAAACTGTTTCTAGCTGGAAGTTTCCACCTTTGTGGAAAGAGAGATTAAATCTAAAGATATAATACAGGAAACTGCCTAACAACAGACAGTGTTTCAAGTTTAAACTGCATCTGTCCTAGTCTCTTATGCTAAGCAGCAGAGGTGTGTCCCTGTTATCAGGTGACAAGCTTAAACCAGAACTTTTGCTGCTTTGCAAGGTGTGCATTCTGGATCCCCTGGTATACTCTTATGAGCAAAACCCTAGTTTAAAGCAGCCTGAGTGAGTTTTACTATGGCTTTATGTAAATTGCTAAAGTTGAGAGCTACTTTAAGAGTGTTAACTTCTTAAATACATGGATGTAAGTTAAACTGTTACACCTATTTTGTTTAAATAAGATGTTTAAAGTTTTCAGGCATATCCCAGAAATATATATATAAATATCAGTAAAAATTCAGAATTAGCTGCTTATAAATCCTAGCTGATCATATCGTTTCAGAGGCTGGGTGAGACTGCTTAAGTTTTAGAAGGACATGACTGTTCTCCAGTTTCATTTTTACATTCAGAGAGGCAGGAATCTGCCCTATGAATTTGTGAATCCTGTTCAAATCACAAGCCATGTGTGGCTTGATAATAGAAAAGTAAAAGATACAAAACTATATTTAATCCAATTATGCAACTGAGACCTTATAAAAATCAGTAATCCCATCCTCTGAAAGATTTCCATATGCTGGGATTTTGAACGGTCAATTGTTTCTTCATAATGAAAGCTGCTATTTGCTTTTATTGAAGTTACAGTGACCTTCCTGAAATTCAGTGTTTTCCTTTACAATAGGAGAGAATTTTTCTGCAGTACAATATGATAAAATGCTGCTCAAAATGATAAAAGCAAAGTAAAAGTAAATACAGAAGTTAGAGACCTAAAAAGATGAGCAAAAACTAAATGTGATTGTTCTAACCAATGTTCTTTGAGAAGCAGGATTGAAGAATGCTCCAGGAAAAAATTCATAAAACCAAGCCATATAACCTATCTCCTACAGAGAGAATTATACTGCAAAGAATCATCACTAGGCCTTCAGTTTCAAAGAAAAACTGCAAAATTACCCATGATACCCACTTAAAACTGACTGAACTATTAATAACAAATTTGTGAGTTTTTTATTAAAGGTGAAGAACAACTAAAAGAAGCAGATGAACAAGAGCTGAGAGTCAATTACGTCCCAGACATCAGAGACGACTTGGACTGACTTCTCACAGAAGACCCTGAATTTCAAGCTGTATTAGCAGACTGTAATAATGATTTATCTATTCATTTTTCTAGGTACCGACTATAGACAGAAATCATGTGTTGCTGCCAATCACACATTACTCATGCAACTCAGACATTGCTTTAATTCTCCACAATTTAGGAAGTTTTGAAAAACTGTAAGGACAAGTAATGTTGTAATTTGCTGGTTTTCCAGAGCTAAAACAATTATGCAGAGATTCCTAACTCACTTCTAGGACAAATTGTTGTCAAGAAAACATTTTACACATCAAATGAACATTTTAAAAATATAAAAAGGGGGGAAAGAGACCATGCAGGTGCATAAACAGATGCTAAATCGGAGTAGATCTCATTTAAATTTGTTAGGCCTTATGTTCCTTGTATGTATTCCTTTTCAGGCCAGGTACAGTTGTTGGACGTGACTGCCAAAGATGACAAACTGAGAAGTACACAGTCAATAACTACTTAAAATATAAAGTGTGTAATTAAAATGTAAAAGTATAATAGAAATTCCAGCTATGTGTGAGTGAAGTGTGACTGAGGTGGCCACCAATGAATGACTGGAAAAAGATTGTATGAGAGAGAGAAACTGTGTAGATATATATGTGTGTAGACTTAAAAATACTTTACATGAGTGTCAAGATTTTAAAGGAATGTGTTACATGAATCTGTCGGACCATAGTGAGTCCTTATTCTAGATGGTAGATGAACTCTCTTTTTTCTTGGTGAAGTGTTGTTCTCCATCCTCGTTGGGAAATGGTGCATTTCTTCTTAGCTTTGAATCAGGGGTTGTCGATACTGATGCCTTGCTTGATCAGCCTGTTGCAAAGGGCCCTGCAACAGACTGTTAAGGCCATCTTTGTCGCACAAATACAAAAAAGGGGGAATTGTCACGGGTGACAGCGGGTCTGTCAGCACCTTGGCACATACTGATGAAGCAATAGATGTTGACCAGATCAAAGTATACCCCTGAGATGGACTGAAAAGAGAGGACTGAAAATGGAGGCCCTGATCCTGACAACATACTGATGCACCCTGAAGAAGCTGTCCTGTGGGAACAGAGAACACTGTCTCATGAGAACAGGAGCACTGTCTCATGAGAACAAGGACCTGTTTTGAACGAGAGTGGTTGGGAAGAACATCAACATGAGAGAAAAATAAGAGCAGGTGCTCGGGACTGTTGTGGGAAAGAACTGGGCTGTTTTGAGAAAGAGCAAAGTTGTTGTGAGAAAGTAGAGTTTAGAAAATGCACCTATTAGCTGTAAGAATTCTGGTGTGAAAGTTTGAACTGTCCTATCCATGTGCATTACGTGTGTTCAAAAACTGTACTTAAGGGGCTGCGCAGCAGCCCCGGCTGTCCCTGCTTTTTTCTTGGAATAAACTTTGCTGGAACCTTTTTTTGTGTCGCTTTGGCCGTTCCGACACTTATCAGCGACAGTTATGTTATAAATTCTTAGCTCTTAGTGGCTTGTTTTTTAAGGGCTTTTCACCGTAGGTTCCAGGAATGGCTCTATGAGCCAGTAATAAGCACCATACAGGAACTATTCCTGTAGACCACAAGTATTCTCCTTTTGTTTCACTGTGGGCATATTAGCCATGTATTTTGAATTATTCCATAATGCAGCGTTAACAGGAAAATGATATGGCACATTACCAGTTTAGAAAGCTCCAGAGTTTTTTGTATTGGTCTGTAGAAGACTGTATGTTCAGTGATGATTTCTTTATGCATTACTCCACTGAGATTAAATGGAACAACATGTTTTAAAGCAAAAAAGCCTTCTGTTATCGAGCTGTATTTATTTTGTGTTACTTCTTTGACATTAGCATTGATGTTGAAAGATGAAATTATATGTACTTCGCTTCTCTGTATTTGAGTCCTCAGAGTCTCATGACCTTAACAAAGTTTATACTTATATTTAAGGTCAAGCATGTATTTGAGTGCTTTGCTAGACTGGGTCATTAAAGAGGAAGGATAGAAGTATCCTGGATGTAATTTAGCTGAAGTCGCTTGAATTGGCCTGCATGTTCTTTTCCTCCAAGCTTAATCAAAAAGAGTCACTTTCAAGTGATGTGCACATGCTTTCAGTTTTTGGACAGTATTACAAAATTATTTATTAACGGAAGTTGAAGTAAATGACTTGCAGTTGCTTAAGCTTGTCTCTAGAAGGAAATCGCTTCATAAATAATAATGCTGAATTATTGGAGAAGTGCTATGGAATCTGAAGGGTAGCAAAACTGAAAAGAGCAGGGAGGGAACATTTGTTTTTATTTTGCTAAGACTTCAAGTGCTCTGCTTTTGCAACTGAGATTTGCTACAGGGAGAGTTATGCTGTAATTGATGTCTCCTATAGAAGGAAAATATTTGACTTTTTTTGGTCCCAAGACTTAACCTTGGTGTGTGTTTGTTGTGCAGAAATAAGCCAAATCACTTTTGTTGACATTCAAAAAGAGAATACTTTTTCCTTATTATTGTAGGAAATAAAGAACGTGAATTAACAGAAAGTGTTAGGTGAAAGACTTCAACAGTTTGGAACATTTCATATAAACCCACTCAATTTTTCTGTAGATGGATGTTTTACAATATTTCTTGGTCTGTATTTTATCTTTTTGGTTGAAAGTGACAAGCACAGGAACCAGCCCTGCCCTGGCCTGGTTTAGCACTGCCAAGTACGTTTATTGTTGACCCGTCAGACACTGTTATATCCCAAGCTGAAGGCAAAGTGAAGATCCAAAGTAGGAGTGTATCTCATTGGAGTGCAGGAAAGCTCTACAAAACAATGTTTGCTCTTAACAGTTATTGCTGTAAAATGAATGAAAAATGTTGAGTGCTGCTAAGCTTTAGACCATTTTTAAGCACTTAATTGGGGGAAATAAATAAGAAGTGTTGTTGTAACACAGAAGTGGTCGCTTGCATGAATAAACTGTCACTGAATTACCAGTCATTTTCTGACCTACTCTGTCACTGAGGTTTTGAATATATTTATTCTGCTCTTAAATGTAATTATTTTGTAATTACATACTATTTACTTTGATAATTACTATTATTTACTTTGAAGCTATTTTTCCAAATATATTTTAGGGTTTAACTGTCCTGGTTCATAGGGCATAAGATTTGCAAATGTCTCTTTAAAATATGTTGTATTGATTTCTGGTTTATCTCACTTAAAATACTTTGAATCATTTCTGCGTCACATTAAGCAATCACAGTGCTTTCATGCACAGCATACAAACACTGCATAGACTTCCTTGAAAATGCACTACAGTATTTTCATGTAATTCTTGGATTTCTCAGTGTATGAATTTTTGGGTTTGCATTAATGTATTAAGTTGGCAAAATTCCTTTTTGTTTCAGTGTTTGACTGGTGAAGAAATTTTTTCTTTGCATGGGATACCGAACAACAGTCACATATCAAATTCCAACTTCTCTACAATATGTCCCGCTGTTTTGCAACAGCTAATTTTTCACCCATGTGATCATCAGGAAAACTTTGAGGATACGTCTAAACCACATTCTTTACAAGGTTAGTTAATATTAATTAATATTAATACTGTGACTGGGGTGGGGTTTTCTTAGGGGAATAGTAGTCATTTATCTATACATAACAGGAGTGTCTTGTTTAAGAGGATATGGTTGTAAAGTGTAAACACAATATGCTGTTTCGGGTTAGCAGACCATCTAAACAAACACAAGGAGTCCCGCTAACAGCTGGTTAATAGGAGAGAAGATGGGAGTACAGAAGGGAAGTCTGTGCAGCTGATTTGCAGTGGGAAATCACCTAACTGGGATTTGCATGTATCAGGGCAATACAAGGTTTACTTAGGGGGCTGCATTTGAGTGTAGATACTTGCAGGTGGGAGTCATGACAGCAGGGGAGCCAGCGATTGTTTTTGTGAGGAAAAATATTCCTTCCAAATTCTGACTCCTGCTTTCATGTCATCTTCTGTGATGACCCCTCCAAATCATCACATGGCTAGGTAGCCTTAGTCTTCCTTCCTCCTATTTTTCTTACTTTATTTCCATATTTATTGTGCACAGAACTGTATGGTGCAGTAAAAAACAAAGGACGGGGAAGATTCGGCTGGTTAATAAAGTAACTTGTTTCACTGATAAGGATCAAATATAGAATGACCCACTGATTTGACTCAGTATCATAAATAAATTTACTACTCCAAGGGAGTCATCTGAATTAAACTTAAAAGTTAGGATTTTGGATGAGTTGGTGCCTAATGTCAGCATTTATGAGAAGAGATAGAAAAGTGCTTTTTGTAACTTTTGAAATACTAGCATTAATAACATTCTGATTAACATAGGTGATCATATTTATTAAGAATTAGAGGTAATTCCTAAATCTTAGCTGTGTCAGTGAAAGATTAGAATTCTACTTGAGTAATCACTGAAATCATATCACCAATTTACTATGGCTGTTCTAGATTGTTTGTATCATATGAAGACACATATTGCCAAGAAGTCCATAATATCTGCACCAGAGAGTAGGATCTGTCTTTCTCTTTTTTTTTCTTTTGTTGGGGGGAACTGTTTAAGTAGGTTGTACATGGAATCCTTGACCTACAGTTAACCTCCTAAGCTATCTAGACCATCCCTCTTGTTTTTCTTTTATCCCTCACGCTCAGAAGCAATGTCCAGTAGCCAGATAAGCAAGGCAGCCTTCTCCCTGCCCCTCCCTTGGCTGCAGTGCAAGAAATCTGCAAGGTCCATGTAAAGTATTTTAAACCACAAGGGTATGAGGCTGTGACACACAGTGGTACCTATTTTGAACAGAAATTCACAGGAAGGTCCAGTGCCAAATGCAACTGTTGATTTATTCACACCCCTGCCCCATCACAAAATGAATCTGTATTGCTACAGCATTGGCATCAGGTGATTTCAGTTACTGCCCATGAAGCAAAATCTTCTGTGCATGTTTATATCTGTGCTCATGTGAATTTTCTCCCCAGGGACTTCAGAAGACGATATACTGTCTTCTGAAATACTAATGGACAAGACGCACAGAAGAAACCTGTACAATGAGCTTTACAGAACAGCTGCTTGAAATAAAAAATAAGTGCTGATGAAGCAGAGTAGAAGTTGGAAGGCAACATATATCACGTGTTTTTTCTTGGGATTTGTATAACTCATATCTAACCTAGCTGACCTTAGGGGCACACTCAAGTCCTTCCCTAACTTGCGTCTCTGAAAGATAATAGGGAGAGCTGTATGAAATGCTGGAAGTTCCCAGTGGCATTCCTTCTGTCCAATGTGAACATTTTCTGTGCTCTTTTCTTGACTTCTTTAGAAAGGTATTCATGCACTTTTTTCCTCTTCATCCTAGGCCAAGGCTAAGGAAGAGCCTGAGCCTGCTTGTTCTTATAAAGAGCAATGCTGAGCAATGGTGTTCTAAGGAGGCCATCTTACTTGCACTCCTGCAATTCTGTTTTTTAGATTTCTTGAGTCTTTGGGTATCTTGGCTGTCTCTTTATTGGGTCTGCAGTTCCAGAGACAGAAAGAATAATAGTAGTTGGCTAAAGCTGACTGCACCACCAGTCTTGGGGAAGAGAGAGTATGTGTTCAGAGTGCCCTGCTCTGGTATCTCAGATTTCTGAGATGTGTGGATTCATGAAAAACTTAGTGTGGATGGAGTCCTAGTGAATAAAATAATTTTTAAGACAGCAGTGCATACCGCATTGTGAAATACAATCTGCAATGCAGGAACTTCGGCAACATTGGTTATGTTGGAATTTTGTCACTTTTTTATTTTGTTAACTCAGTTTAAAATGTACATTTTTGCATAGAATATGTGTAGATGTCCATACACTGAACTGAAAGAGACTCATGCTTCTGTAGTAATCCCAAACTGTAAACAGTGGTTTGTGACTCCTGATGACATTGCAGACCTATTTGTCTATTATAAACTTGATTTCAAAAAGATATTTGCAAGCTTAATTGTAATTTATTTTAATGGAAATTAAACTCCTGTGTAGCTTAGTGAATCTACCCATATCTAGTTGTGGTTTTTTCCTGCTCTCTGTGTATATCCCTCAAACCTGGCAAATTAATGTTCTAATTGGCAGTGATACACCTTCTTTGAATACTTTAAATGTTTCTAATGTTTTTGTTCTTGATATAATATAAATGTCATTATATATAAAAATTGTGACACTCTACAAACAAAATAGAGCCATCCTGGTAGCAGGTGAGTAATCTAGTTTATTGTGTTTTCCAGTTGTGTTCCAGAAAAGTAAGGCTGCAGATCTGATCTGTTAGTTTCTGCCATGCAACTTCTTTACATACACACAAGCTTATAATGATGCAGCGTTCTGGATTATACCAAATTGTTCTCATCTAGGCAGCGTGGTGTTGGCTCTGATTATTATTTGTGGTTAATTTTACAGACAAATCCTCTGTCTGTGTGGATAACTTTGTGGTTCTGTGGCATCACTTGAGGCACCGTTGTAGACCTCTTCAGAGCAACTTTTAAAGCTTTTCTCTGTACTCACAGTGACTTGAAATGTCACTGGGAAAAACAGTAATCACACATAGAGGCACGAATTTGTGATGCTTATGAGCAGCAACAGCAACCACACCACACCTCTCCAACCTGTAATTCAGACTCCAGAATTATTATGGTATGGATTTGTGCAAGTCCTTGTGTCCGAACATGAAAAATCTGAGACTATGCTTATGGTGAAGGAAACAAAGTTATGGTGAACCCTGGTGCATATACTGCTTCTTAGAAAAAGTTTTCCCCGTTGCGCACCTAAATTGTATGTCCTTCTTTTTGAACCTAGAACCTCTTTTTAAATGCACTTTCATTTCTCTATTATAATTGTCTCAACTATGAGCTATCTGTCACCCACCTGTTTGATAAGTGGTGATGGGCAGCATTTTCAGCCAGCAGAACTTCTTTGAATAAGAGAAGGAGGGAGGAGAGTTAGGAACTGAGATACCACTTCAGGGTGATTTGAAGGAGTCATCCATTATCAGGAAGGATTTTTGTATCTAGTACAGCCAAGACAGCAGCCTTCTAGTCTTGGAGTTCCTTAGAAGTAAATGGCAATTTATTTGGCATTAAATGGCAATTGACTCTGGGACTAGTGACAAGTTTTGTCTTATCATCTCTATGCTATAGCTACTTCAGTTATTAGCCTAAGCCTTAATTTTTACTCCTTATTGGCTGTACAGAGACCTGATTTATATTAGCAGCATATAGGCTAGCCCGTATATTTATACTTATACTAGCACAGTTTCCATTTTTAATATGGTAGTCCCAGACAGTGTTTTCAGATATTTCCTTTCTGCAGGTGTGCATCTTAACTTCAGAATTACATATTTGTGAATTTTAATTTCAATCAAGGAACCACTACTTTTACTAATTCCATTTTTACAATTTAGCAATTAGAGAAATCACAAGCAGAACTGAAGTGGGTGTTATACTAAAATATTTTGTATTTCTCCTTGTTTATCCACAGTTTGGGGATTTGGGTTCCTGACTGTGACCATCATTAACTTGGCATCGCTTCTGGGATTGATTTTAACTCCTCTCTTAAAGAAGTCGTATTTCCCCAAGGTTTTAACTTACTTTGTGGGCTTGGCCATTGGTACTCTCTTTTCTAATGCAATTTTCCAGCTCATTCCAGAGGTAAGCAAGGGGAATCATTATTTAGTTTGCATACTAGTTTCTAAAGTATATTAATTTTAGAAGCATGCTGCTGTGGGGTTCTGTGTGTGGGTTGTAGTCTCCAAAGAGTTTTGTGTGGGTTTCAGTGCCATTAGCTATGATCCCTTTCTGGGATGAGTCAGAGCCATCAAGATCTCTGTCTTATTGTTCATTGGGGAACAATGTTCATGGGCTATGCTGCCTTTAGACAGAAAGAGAAATGCATTGGATAAAATCGTAGTGAACTTTATTGGGCTACACTGTTAACATTTAATCTAAGTTTAAAAAATTTAAAGGATCAGGATCTTTCACAATTTCAGGTCATGGAAACTGGTGGTGGGTATAGAGACAGTTTTTATAATAAAGGGGTATCTGTGAAGTGTGGCATTTGTTTGTTTTTCTGGAAATATATTAAGATTACAGACTAATTTGCATTGCTTTTTTCTTCACTGTTAGGCGTTTGGGTTTGACCCGAAAGTAGATAACTATGTTGAGAAGGCAGTTGCTGTGTTTGGTGGATTCTATATTCTCTTTTTTGTGGAAAGGATTCTTAAAGTGATATTAAAGATCTATCACCAGGTAATGAAACCTGTCACTAACTGAACAAGCCTTGCCTTAAAGTACCTGTCATATTTTATGAGATACTTGCTAGTTAAATAAAATGTGTGGGTTTTTTTCTGTTTTATCTGAGGAATTCAGCCCTACTGTGTGTTCTAATATAACTGTTTAAAATCCATATGAATAGGGGAAGCAACCTCACATTTTTGAAGGAGTTATAAGCAGCACTGGGAATAGAATCCAGATATGAGTGTGATCTGCTCTCACTGGAAGATGTTTCAGTTGCTCTCAATAGCCAAGTCGTTGCCATGATAGCTAAACACATCAGAAAAGGATGGAAATACCTAAGAGCTGGAGAGAATGGAGTCTGCCCATGGAGTCTCCCCTTCGGGCAGGAGAAATCCATGCGACATTTATACCTTTGTAGTCACCTGCAAAGTGTAACCATGCTGATAGGACCTGAATCTTTCCTTCAGTGACTTCAGCTCTGTGTTTCCCCATGCTCTAGTACACAGACCTGCTTTAGTGAACACTGCAGTTATCTCTTACTGCCCAGCACTCTGCTTTCTACCCATATGTCAGAGTACTTGTTTGTTGTGTACTCACATCAGTGGGGCTGATTTTGTCTCAGAGAAGGGCACCTCAAAATTCTGGTCCTCTCTGCTCATTACTCGTGAAAGAAAACTGTCCTACTCCTACCTCTCTTAAGGTTCCCCCTCCCGAAGTATTGCTGGTAGTGAAAATTATGATGATCAACTGCCCCTTGTTGGTAATAGCTAAAAATAGAAAAAACAAATTTGTTACTGTTTATTTTTGTACACAATTGACAAAGGCTAATAAGATCTATTTGACAAACAACCATGAATAACTAGCAAATGTTGGTCACTTGTGGTTAGGAATTTGGCTTGGGAGGTTCTACATAAAGGTGTAAAAGTTAAAAATCCCACATGTATTCTGATTAGCTAAAAGTAAGAGATAAGTTAGGAACTTAGATACATTTGGAGTTCATTGAAAAATTGAAATGTTTACTGCTGCTCATTTCAACAATGACTTGGTTCAAAAACAAGGCAGCAAGAGTATGATGCACCCACCTTTCCCTTTTTGTCTCTATTTTCTTATGTTTGCTATTTTGCTTTTGTTTTAATTAGCTCCTACTTATTTGTTTGTCACCTAGACTGGCCATAATTACTTCGAAAATGGTGAAGAGAATCGTTCTCAGGATAAGACTAACCCACCCAAACCACTGTCATCCAGCAATGGGGGGGCGTGTTACGCAAATTCAGCCGTCATAGAGAGCAATGGAAATCTTGGTTTTGACAGCATCAGTGTGGTCTCAGCACAGGTATGAAAATCATGTCTATTTTTTATTGTATTCCTGCCAATTATATAAGTGTATCTGAGGGGTCAGTTAATATGAATTTTTATTACTTTTGTTAATTCTTGTAAACTTAGAGCTTATAATTTGCTTGAGCTCTACGAAAAAAATAATGGGGTTTTGGGGCAAGCTTACAAAAGCTGAATGATGCATTCAATTTGTAGCCAACAAAAAGGGCTATTTTATATCAGTATTTGAATGCATAGGACAGAGAGATGTATTTAATCAGATAATTTGGTTAATATTGATTTTGTTTTTTTGTTTTGCTTTAAGAGTGATAGTGTATTTTAGTGTTGTGTGATCTCTGTGGTGTTCCTGATTATGTAAAGCTGTTAAGTGTGAGAACCTGATTCCTTTGAATAATACAGTAACTTAATACAAAAAACTAATACAGTAACTTTCATGCAGTATATTGTGAGCACTGCTTGTCATAATTCAGTATGTTTGGATACTATGAGAATTATGGATGTCATATGTTGAGACAGAAGCCATTCCTCCTGGTTTAAGTGTTACTATCTTTCAGATTTTTTCTCTGTATTTCTTTGTGTTTATTTTCATACCGCAAATACAACTTCCTTCTGTCTGAGAAGAAAATGGAAGTAGAAAGTTTTGTGCCTCTTTAGTCTTTTCCCCTGTGCAGGGAGGAGCAGTACCGTTTCTTACTTATAAAAAATTAAAAACACATTAAAAAAAATCTGGAATGTCCAAGGCAAACTTTTTTCATAGTAGAGATTTCTGGTTTACCACTCATGTTCTTTAGCCGGTAAGTTGGTTGTGGGGAGCAGAGAGGAGCAAGCAGGAGAGCAAACCAGAGGCATGCCCTAACAACCAGGAGAAAATATGAGAGTTCTGCATTGACCTTGCAGGCTCACAGGGCATTTGATGCACACAGTTTAAAGCAACAAAATTTACTTGTCCTTATTGTAGAAACGTCATGAAGTGTGGTGGATACTGGATGTTTCAAAAACTAGGAGAAATATACTTAAAATTGTATGGGCACCAAGAGGGAATTAGTATTATGAGTGTCCCTAAGCTGTATTTTGTAGATTTATAAAACAAAAAGAAGACTGTCTCTGCTCTCTGCAGAGACAGTCAACTCTAGTGTTATGGGTATTGTTTTTCTGTCCTGTACTAGAAGTTACATCTGGACTTATTCCAGTGTTACCTTTTGGTTAGCCATCTGCTTATGCATAACCTAAACATAACAAAATCATACCACATATTAGAATATTAAAATGCAACTACATAAGATTTATTTCTAACAACTAGTTTAGATGAGATGCTTATGACCATGAAATATTGTAGGTCACCCCAAGATCCTTTGTGGAATACACATCTCCTTTTACATGCAGTCTTAAAAACTTAAAATTTCACACAGGTCTTCTCTTCTACGTATTGTTCTTATGAAAATTCATGCCCTTCAATCTTTCTTTCTCTCCATTTCTGCATATCCAGGAAGAGAATATGTTGTATTAAATCATCTTGAAAGTAACAGGGTAAAATTCACTCTGGAGCCAAGGCTGGCTGCAAGGAAATTTTGGTGTCAGATAACCCACAGCTGAATGTGAGCCCAGGTGTCCAAGAAGGCCAATGCCATCCTGGTCTGTATCAGAAACAGTGTAGCCAGCAGGACTAGGGAAATTGTTGTTCCCCTGTACTCACCACTAGTGAGGCTGCCACTCTAATCCTGTGTTCAGTTTTGGGTCCCTCACTACAAGAAAGACATTGAGGTGCTGGAGAGTGCCCAGAGAAAGGTAACAGAGTTAGTACAGGGTCTTGGAGCACAAGTCCTATGAGGAATGGCTGAGGGAGCTGGGGGTGCTTAGCCTGGAGTAAAAGAGGCTCAGGAGGACCTTCTTGCTCTTTGCAACTACCTGAAAGGAGATTGTTGCAAGGTGTGAGTTTCTTGTCCCCAGTGACAAGTGACAGGATAAGGGGAAACAGCCTCAAGTTGTGCCAGGAGAGGTTTAGATTGGATATTAGGAGAAAGTTCTTAACAGAAAGGATTGTCAGGCATTGAAACAGGCTTTCCTATGGAAGTGGCTGAGCCACCATCTCTAGAGGTATTTAAAAGATGCATAGATGTGGTGCTTAGAGACATGAATTAGTGGTGGACTTGTTAGTGTTAGGTTAGTGGCTGGACTCAATCTTAGAGGTCCAGCCTAACGATTCTATGATATTGTAGGTAGCAACAAAAAAGCCATCATTAGTCTTGTCCTCCTCCAGTGAGGTTCAAAGGGGCCAGGTAGTCTTCGGAGTCATTAGGGAGCAGGAGAGGGCCGCTGTGGCTGAGGTGTTTTGGGGCAGTTTGGTAATGACATGAGGCTAAGTCTGCATTCAACTTTACAGGCATATTTCTTTCTTAAATACTTTTAAGAAAGAAATAAAGAAGAAACCCTTTGGCACAAGCCAACACATACCTAAGAGAATTTTAATGTGTTCTCGTAATCTACTGCTTATTAAATAGGCCAAACACAGCATTGTCAGAAATCATCATGAAGTCTTTAAAGAGGGAATTTGAAGCCGACTGTGCCGAGGTGTGGTAACTGTTTTCAGCTGTGGGGATCCAGCTATATTGTCTCCTTTAATGACAGAACAGATTGACTGCCAGAGTAAATGTTTAATCAGTCACTTACGTTCTGTTTTCACTTGAAGCAGTAATTGCAACCTTGGAAACCTCCTTTGTGCTCTACCCAAAGTTTGTGTCTACTATGCGTTGAAATATGGCTTGACAACAGTAACTTTGAAGAAAAGTTGTTTCAGAGATGAATTGCTAAAATGTCTGTATTCTTGAGTGCAGAGTGTTAGAGTTGTATAACAAAACTTTACAGTGGCCTTTATTTATTCCCCAGAGTCAGTGTCAGGATTCCTTCTTGGTCCTGTGGGCATTTCTAGAGAATACAAAAGGACATATCTGGTTCCTGTCTGAGGGAATCAGAGATGCATTAGAAATAGCAATAGTAATTGAGATATCATGGGATAAAATAAGAGAGGCTCTGTATAATTTTTTAATTTTGGGAACAGAGAAGAGATCATTACTTTTAAAAAACCCTCTGTGTCTAGAAGAGGAAAAATACCAAGGACATCTTTGTTTTTCCATAAACTGTAGAGATACAAATAATACAGAACTGCATTAATAATTAATAAAAATTAGACCTGATAGTCCAGCTGGGTATTACAGAGTTCCTTAGCTAGCATATCTTCTGTGATGTCTGCTAAACTACCATGAAAAAGTGGGAATAGTCCAGCAGAGACAGACATTGTTCATTTTTTACCTTGAAATCCTATGTATTTGTAGGGTAATTTTGTCAGTAGTCTGCCTTATCTTTAACGTGAAGAATAGGTATTACTCGTTCATCTTCTTCTATTGGACACGTGATCTAGTAAAGTTCAGAATATAAATCCAGACAAGCAATTTCATTGTACTTTATATGATTTAGAGAAGTTGTCAAGACATTATCTACAATAGATTACATGCAAGAATTATGATATTTCAGAACTACACAGTAAATGGCAGATAGCCATATATGTATTGCAGAAGCCTCTCAGAAACTGTTTCCTAGTTTTTAAATTACAGTTATTTCTGCATTTTGAAAGATTTGATTAAGAAAGTAATTTTTAGAATTAAATCAATACTAGTATTCTAAATTAAATCCAATTACTTAAAAAAAAATACATAGATAAAAGAACCCAAACCTCAGCACTTTTCTAGAATCAGTTCCATTCTTGATAGACTCAACAGCTAATTCTTAATAGTATCTTCTTACTCAATGTTCATTTTTTTATTAGATGCATAGAAAGTTCAGCATGTATATTTATAAATTATTTATTTCACTAAAAAGCCCTTCAGATTTTTGTATTTGTCGTACATACACACTGCTTTAGGCTGTCATTGGAGTTCTCAGCTGTGCCAGAAAATGGGTCCTTTACCTAGTTCAGTGGCTAAGCCAGTTGTGCCATTACAGCCCTCAGAAAGCCATATGCACACACACGGCTCCCCCTAAAACCAACTGTGCTTTGGCGGGAACGAACATAAACAAATATGTACAAGTGACGTTTTTGCTCACCTGTATTATTTACTCACTGTTTTCATTGCTCTTTCAGGAAGTTTCATCCTTATAAACTTTTTTTTTCATAAAACCATTCATTTTATAGAAGTGCTTGGCATTTGATGTGAGAATTTTTTGATAATTGAAAGTTTTTACAGAACAAAACCATCACCTCTTTCTCATGTATAATAGAAGTCGATAACATGTCTTTTCAAAATACAATTTCCTGAGACTAATATTGCTGCTTTATCTGAAAATACTTGCTGTTGTTTGTGTGTATGTGAACAATGTTCTTTTTTATTAGAAAAAATGAGTTAATTGTTCAAATTAAAATCTGTGCGTTGTCTCAAACTCCCTTTCCTCAGTGAAGCTAGAAACACGTGCAAGAAAGATGTGTTTTTGGCAGAAATTAGGATGATCTACAAAACAGTGCCTCCACCAGTTCATAGGCAGCTTGAAGGATGGTCACCAGGGAACAGAAAATAACATAAGAGAGCAGATCTTCAGCTCAGAGAGCTGGATGAATTGATGGAATTGGTCTATTACTCACTCATAAGTGGTCCTATCTCAAGCAGAAACAGTACAGATACAAATTAATCACCTAAAAAATGTGATTGGCATTGCTTGTGTTGGATGAAATGTTGAGAGGAAAACTTTCAAAAACTAAAGGCAAGCATGTAGTACAAGTCTAAAACTACGTGTTTCAGTCATCAGGGAAACTCCCAATTTTTTAATATCATTGTTAATTTTTGCATTATGAAAGTATAATTTCAGAACTTCCTATGGACTGAATAGGAGCTGTAAGTGTGCTTTGTGGTAGTTTTGGCACTACTCAAGCAAGGCTTTATTATCTACGAGTTCCAGATAGTGCAATAAGCATCTGACTTGGAAATTCCCGACCTGAACTTTTGTCCTGTCCCAAGACAGCTCCTAATACAAGAATGTAGCCAGATAAGAGTCTGGTGAGCAAATCATGAGACAGTCCTTATTGCTCTGTCATTAGAGATTTTGTAAGAATTTATTAATCATTGTATTTCCTTGTAGTTCAAAATTCAGTTGCCTGGTAGTATTTGCATATGGCAAAACTAAAACAATTTGCAATGTTGTTTTTAATAACAAAAGAAAATTTCTTGGAATACTCTGTGGCCTTCTCATAAAGGAGAAAGAGGCGTTCCTCTGCACCACTCTACTACAAGAGACTGACATATGTATGGATGAGGGGAGAGCAGTGGATATTGTCTGCCTTAACTTTAGCAACCTTTTTGACGCTGTCTCTCACAACATCCTCAGAGGCAAACTCAGGAAGTGTGGACTGGATAAGCACACAGTGAGGTGGATTGAGAATTGGCTGAATGGCAGATCCCAGTGGGTCGTAATCAGTGGCACGGGGTCTAGTTGGAGGGCTGTCACTACTGATGTCCCCCAGGTTTCAATATCAGGCCCAGTATTGTTTAACCTATTCATCAGTGACTTGGATGAAGGAGAAGATGCCTCCTCAGCAAGTTTGCTGATGATACAAAGCTAGGAGGAGTGGCTGATACCTTAGAGTGCTGTGCAGCCCTTCAGAAGAACCTCGACACATTGGAGAGATGGGCAGAGAAGAACCTTCTGAAATTCAACAAAGACAGTTGCAGGGTCCTACACTTTGGCAGAATAACCCCCTGCACCAGCACAGGCTTGGGGTTGACCTGCTGGAAAGCAGCTCTGTGGAGAAGGACCTGGGGGTCCTGGTGGACAACAAGCTGTCCATGAGCCAGCATTGTGACCTTGTAGCCAAGAAGGCCAGTGGTATCCTGGACTGCATTAGGAAGAGCATTGCCAGCAGGTTGATGGAGGTGATTCTGACCTGCTACTCAGCCCCAGTGAGGCCACATCTGGAGTGCTGTGTCCAGTTCTGGACTCCTCAGTACAAGAGAGACATGGAGCTCCTGGAGCGAGTTCAGTGGAGGGTGACAAGGATGATTAGGGGAGTGGAGCATCTCGCTTACGAGGAAAGGCTGAGGGAGCTGGGTCTGTTCAGCCTCGAGAAGAGACAACTGAGGGGACCTCATCAATGTATGCAAGTATCTGAAGGGAGGGTGTCAAGAGGAAGGATCCAGGCTCTTCTCAGTGGTGCCCAGCAATAGAAGAAGAGGCAATGGGAAGAAACTGATCCACAAGAAGTTTCATTTGAATATGAGGAAGAACTTTACTGTGTGGGTGACCGTGCACTGGAATAGATTGCCCAGAGAGGGTGTGAATATCCTCACTGGGGATATTCAAGAACTGTCTGGACACAATCCTGTTTGATGTGCTCTAGGATGACCCTGCTTGAGCAGGGAGGTTGGACCAGACAACCCACTGTGGTCCTTCCAAACCGATCTGTTCTGTGATTCTGTGATAAGTATCTCTGTAGGCACACAGATGTATGTATTACTGCTTATGTATTCCAGTAAGTGAGTGCTCATTAATGCCTTATAAGCAAATATTTTTTTTTAGTGGGGGAAATACTACAATGCTTGCAAATATCCTGTAAATACACTATGTGTGTACAGAAATTTAACAGAACGGATCACCAGAAGTTTTTAGGGGGGGTTGGTTTGTACTCACAGCTAAAATGGCAGTTCCTTTTATCTGCTTCAAGTTTTTCATTATTTTGTGGCACTACATGTATAAATTACTTCCACTTTGGGAGGAATTAGTGAGATCCCTGGAGTGTATGTGCATTGCAGTTTTATATTAGCCTGTTGATTTCATACTCTGAGCCTTTAACTTGCACAGTCAGAATTATCCATTACTGTTTTTATTAAACATTCACTGTAGAAACTAATTTGAATAGCTGGATTTGACTATCATTGCCCAAAATTAGAAATAAAGTTTATGGAATATCTGGATGTGTCTATACTCATGTGTACCTGGCTGTTATGCAGCAGGTGTGTCTCTGAGAGCATGACGTACTGGCAGTTGTGTTTCAAATACAGATGCCCTCAGTCAATGTGATCAGATCCTTCTGACTGTACATGCTTAATAGTGGTGGCTGAGGAGGCTGTGAGGAGCCTTGAGACACTCTTTACCTGACAGGGACTCCAGAGAGACATTCAGACCACTATGGCCTGAACTGCTCTCTCAGCTGAAGGGCATTCAGATGAAGCTTTGTAGTCAGAAGGGTGATTGGGCCCTGCATGTTAACTTGTTGAAAAGGAAAACATTTGGTGCTACCACTGCGCCTTTTGCTTCTTGGACCAAGCAATTTGATCTCTGTATGCAGCAGTGCTTTAGTTTATACTTGGCATTCATTTAAAGACAGGAGCATGATTTGTTGGCTTCTTTATTCAGTGGTTCATGTAATTGCTTTATTGTGTTATTTTTTTCCCAGGAAGAAGCCACCCAAAGCAGCTTATGCAAGTGTCTTAATGGGCGTCCACTGTCAAAGATTGGGACCATTGCTTGGATGGTAACACTGAGTGACGCCGTACATAATTTCATAGATGGTTTGGCTATTGGTGCTTCTTTCACTCTGTCTCTGCTTCAAGGGCTTAGTACCTCCATAGCCATCCTGTGTGAAGAGTTTCCTCATGAATTAGGTAAGGAACTTCATGTTGTTTACTGTGGAAATCACTGTTGTAGGAGGTCGTGCATAGATTGAAAGAAAGTTTAGACAAATTAATCGAAAAAATATTCATCAAGAAGTCCCAAGCATCAAAATACACATCTGGCACAGGAAGTTCCCTAGTGCAAGTGGGTGGAAGCTGAGACTGTGTATTGGAAAGGTGTTAATTATCTTGTTCATATATATATTGCATACACTGTTGTATTAATTAATTTTAAAAACAAAAATCATTGTAAGTAGGTGTGTGTTCCCATGCTCTTAGCTCAATCTTGCATCACCTATTTATTTAGAATATATCAGTTTCCTTAGTATTGAAGGGAAATCCTCATCATGTACTTGAATGAAGAAAAACAGCAGGGAGTTATACAAATCATGTATTTTCTTCAGAGTTCCTTTGAAATCAGAAAATAACCACAATATCATTTTCTGAAAATGGTTTTCTCTTTTTTTTTATTCTTTTAGGGGATTTTGTCATCTTGCTTAATTCAGGAATGAGTACTCGACAGGCTCTGTTTTTCAATTTTCTGTCTGCATGTTCTTGTTACATTGGATTGGCTTTTGGTATATTAGTAGGCAACAACTTTGCTCCCAACATCATCTTTGCTGTAGCTGGTGGAATGTTTCTGTACATCTCTCTGGCAGATATGGTGAGTTATAATTTCATTTTCAGTTATTTTTTTATCTGCAAGAAAACAAAGATTTCACTAAGTCTTTCCAGTACTAGAATTTAGTACTTTCTTGCTCTCATATCAGTATAATCTAATTATTATTACTATTATTAGATGTTAAATCAGCAATTATACCCTTAGTGGGGGTGCACAGATAGTTATGTTTGTTCATGAAACATGGAACTCTTTCACTTCACAAATATGGCTCATCACATTATTGCTAAAAGGAGTTTTAGACAGGGAAAAGCTTTTCATGAACAGTTTCATCAAAGAGTAAAAAGTGTATAAATACGTTGTTTCAGCATTTTAAAGTGTCAGAGTATTTCAGCTTATCTTTAAAAGGTTCATTTTTCTATTTAAACCATATTGTGAAAGAAAAGCAGAAAAAGAAAGGTAAACAAAATGAAGTTAAGTATTAAGTTTTTAGTTGAATGAAAGGTGTTTTGTAATCACTGTAATAATTTTCAGGTTATTTAGCTGAAAAACCTGATTTAAATTCTGTTCCGGTTTAAATTAAACAGTGACAGCCCCAGTTTCAAGGTTCAGACTGAAAAACTTGCTAAGCTCTATGCAAAAGAGTCTGTCTATCATTTATTTTTCAAAGTATGCTAGAAGATATAAGCGAAAGAAATTGTGCTAAGATCCAAATAGGGTTTAGACATTGGGAAATAAAATCTGGATTCACAGGCAGTTAGCAATATTCCATAATTTCCTCTTATAATGATGTTTTGTCTCAAAATGAAAGAGGTCTTTCAAGAGTTTTAAGTTTTATTATGTTTAATTCAGTGTTGTAAGAACAGATGCAGCAGGTGAAAAGGTGTTTACACCTGCTACATGAGAATCCATTTGAGTGTAGAATTGGAAGAGTGAGGCCTGAATTTGAAAAGATTTAAGTCCCCAGTTTGTTTCTATGTGTGTTCAAGAGCTGTCATGTAGTTATAGTGACCATTCCATTAAATGCTATTATAGTTTAGGAAAGAGCATAGAATTTAAGTAATACCCTAGAATTAAAGAAACAATATAAATAGTTTATTTTATAAGTTTGCAGTACTTCGATTGCTAATGCTTTTCATTTAGTTTCACTCTTATATTATGAACAGTAATGTACTGAACTATGATGTGTAAAATTCATGGCATAGATTTAGAGTGGCTCAAATTTGTTATTAATCCATCAAAGTAGGTAACATTCTTTTATTTTTATCTGTTGTTCTATTCTCTCTGTTCCTCTCTGTCTCTCTCCCTGTCCCCTCTTCTCCCCAGTCTCTCTCTCTTTTTATAGGTTTTTGGATTGTATCAGTTACCTATCTGAATTTTTCTCCCCCCTAAAAAGTCTGAAATAGGGTATTCAAGTGCTCTGTACAGAGATCTGGCTTTCTGCTTTCTGTTATGATTTTCACACACTTCTGGTTTGCTTGTCCAGAAGCAGGTAGGATTAACTGGAATGTCATTCCTTCCTCATTCTCTTTTTGCTGTGCCTTTTCCTTCCAGCATTGGCATATCCCACCTCTGCCAATAGGATCACTGTGAGGTGAGGCTGTGGGCAGGTGAGAATGTGTACACTGAGGTGTGTGCACAGATGAGCCTTGTTGTATGGCATGAAGCTAATCTGGTTTGTTGCCATTGCCTCTTGTGCAAGAGTATTACAGAGCTCTGGAACGATTTCTGGGAAGGTTTGGCCACTTCCCGCTAACCTTAACCTGTTCTTCAAGAATTGCGTTACCTTCAATGGCTGTTTTTGTGTTGTGAGATCAAAGAAAGATACAATTTCTGAGTCACCTAGCCTGGAGGTTTCCAAACTAAGACTGAAATTAACTGTCTTCATTGCATTCTGGTTAGACTACTCCCAGCAGAACTGGAGAAGAGAAAGTTTATTTGAGTACGTTTGTCGAAATCTACTGTAGTTGATTTTATCGGCAGCAAACACATACCCTGAATCATCCCATGCAGGGAACTTCTTGCCTGTGCTCTTCTGCCATCACCTCAGAGGAAGTACATTTGTTTCTGCAGTCAGCAGTACAGCAGTGCTATTATGTTGCTATTATGTTACCATCAAGATGCATGTTGCGGAATGAAGACTCTGTAATGTAATATTGCATGTGTTAGCACCACTTTCACACCTGTCTTCTTTCTTCCTTGCTTGACCTCAGAAGCCCACCAGACTTTCTACACGTAAAAGGTTTCTTATTTCTGAGGCATTGTCTATGTTTTCATCTTCACTTCTTTTGCCTTTACATAAAGCAAAAGAAATCCTGATCTTCCACTTCCTGGAGAAGGGTTTCTCTGTTTATACTAGTGAGTAATGCAACATTTAGTAATACAAGGGCAGCTGCTCCTAGCAACATATGAACCAACAACTGGAACCTAGGAGACTGCTGGAATCACAAAGGGAAAATTTGCATGAGAGACAACCAGGTGAAATCTCAATAGAGAGGAACAAGGCACCATTTCATTTCACCATCCTTGGTGGAGTAGGTTTTCATGGTAATTAGGGTGACTTGTTCCTGTGACTGCCTTCATGCTCTGTTTGTTCAAATACACAGTCTGAAGTAGCAATATTGTTCAGTTCTTAATGCCTTAAATGAAGCACACTACCACGAGATGGCAATACTTACCTAAAAATATCCTTTTTTTTTTTTTTTTCAGTTCCCAGAGATGAATGATATGCTGCGGGAGAAAGTGACAGGAAGAAAGATGGATCTTACATTCTTCCTTATTCAGAATGCTGGTTTGCTAACGGGGTTTACTGCTATACTGATGATCACCTTGTATGCAGGAAATATTGAGCTGTGATAATGCAAGTGAAAATGGAATCATTACTGAAGACATGAAGTAAATTGCAAATGGAAGACACTTGAAATCCATAAAGGGACATTCATTAGTGACAAGTCCCATCCTATCCCTCTTGCTCCAAATACAGGAAGTTCTTCTTTAGGACTTGCAGTCAATCCAAATAGCAGGAGCTGTCAACTTCTGTACAATGCCAAAAAAATGCTAGTATTTTTATTTCTACTTAAAATTATCAGACATATCTGGACTGTCACAGAGAAAGGATGTTACTTGGCCAGTAGAATTATGTAATACATGCAACTCAGGACCAACTGAAAGCTGAGGTGTACAAGGAAGATGTGTATTTAAAAGAAAATAATAGAGTTTCATATCCTTTTTTAACAGTGATGAAGGCAAGCAATTTTCAGTTTTCATGACTTTAGTGTAGAATTTGTCTGTGTAACATCCCCTTTCCCCATCCAAAAAAAAAAAAAAATCAAATTACTTCAGAGTAGGTACTAATGAAGCTAAGATTTTTAATTACTACTAATTAACACTGGAAGGAAAGATACCAGTTCCTGCTTTTGATCTTCTCTCTTTATAAGTGCACTAGGGAATTGTTGATTTATTTTGAGAACCACTTTTTTTAATTAGAGGGAACCTGTGTTAAATTTATGACTTTTATCAACTCCATAATATTTTAGAAACATTGAGTATTTTAAAATGTACAAGCATTTTGTGTTTATGAAAATAATAAACTTTTGCCATTAAGTTTCACAAATATTCTCTTTAAAAAAATTGGTATTTTAGTTTCACAAAGTGGAATTTAGAAAAAAATCTTGCTAAAATCAACATTCCAGTAAGCTTTTTTGTAATTTGAATAATTTCCTCATGTGCAGTTGAGTGGAAGTAAGTGATAATAAAATATACAAATTCTTATCACAATCTGTTGCATGTGACCTTTCTAAAATCATGCTTATATGTATGAGTTCTTCTGAAATAAACAATTCATCATCTCTAGTGTTACAGGATGTGCACAAGGAAATTCATAAAAAAATATAGTCCATTTCAATCACCACTTTGCTTTGAAGGAAATGTTGTTATTCTCTAGTAAGTTACTTTTTTCATTGATTTTTAAGCAAGTTTTACAGCTTCAAAGAAGATACTATTTTTTGATGTATTTCCTGGTTGTAGGAAGGGACAAATATTTTATTTTTAATTCTCTATTAAAATATATTTTCTACCAGATAAAGGATTTATTTTAATATTTTACTTGAATCTCATCTGTAATTACATTAGAGAAAATAACTAGGTGTCTGTTGTTCTGCACAGAAGTTGTAAATGATACTACTTTAAAATATGTTATAAATGTTAAAATGTAATCATAGTAGCCAATGACATTTGCTGTATGGAATAAGCATTTATTAGTCACTTTGTGCCCTCTAAGTTTCTGTGAAGAAGAATCCTCCCACTCCATGTCTTTCCTTTATTCCTTCCTTATTGATTCCTTGGATATGAGCTGTTTGTAAATGCTACTCTTGTGTATGACAATAATTTATTATAGTAACTATGAATGTTCATTGACTTTTTAAAATAATTTGACCATTTCTAGTTCATCAGATTATTTTAATAAGATACCTGCATGGTACTTTTCACCTTTAAATCCAAACATTTGCAAAGAGACTTGAGTTTTATCAGCTCCCTAAGGAGAAAAAACTGAGGCAAACAAGTCATTGAAATAACCTACTTTTAGATCACAGAGCAGACTAGAGATGGAACGGTCTGATTTTCTGTGTAGTGCTTTAGTCAAAAACCAAACTGTCTTCTCTGCTAATTGGATATTTAGTACATAAGAAAGCTTTTTGATTTCTGTATGGGCAGGTTTGTCTGTATATCTTTGCTGTTGTTATTTGTTTGTCCAGTACATATAAAATACATCTATTCCAATTCTAGGAATTGCAGTGATTTCCTAGACTTTGCAGATACATCCAATGAGGAAGAAGGATGAGCAAACATGTTGGTTTTTTGTGACAAATAAGACTGCAAATAGTTACTCCCCAAAAGTTTTGAAAATCAGTTGAGGGAAAGACTTTCATATTCTTTTTCATGTTAATGTCATCTGCAATACTATTCAACTTAAATTGCCACCTCTTCGGCCTTCTTTTCAACAGTTGTGCAAATTCAGCATGTAATGTAATTTCATAGGGCTCCTACATACTTTTGTATATGTTGTTTCCTTAGGGCAGATTATTGGACATCTAATGTTAGGCATTATTTAACATATACTTGGGAAGATATTCTGTGTTGGCAGTACTGTCATAGATAGTATATAGTTGTAAATAGATCACTGTCATAAAGTTTCCTTTTTTTCATGATGTGATTCATGACCTAAGACACACTTTTGAAAGTTTCACTAGAGGTGGGGAAAGATCCAATACCACAATGCCTTCCCCATGCCCACCTACCCCGCTGATAATACACTAAAGAAGGAGCCAGGAGCATATAAAGAGCAACAAGATGGACAAAGGGTAAATCCTAGAGTAGTTCTGACCTCTTGAATACAGGATATGCAGAAAAGTAAAATGGTCTATGGGGGAAGCCTGGCAAATATGCGATACATAATTATCATTTATGATTTCAGGAAAAATAAGCACAAAAATTTGGTCAGTACTTTAGGGTTACTGGTTTTGACATTTTGATGAGTTCTTGACTGAATAAGGATTTAAGGCATCAAACTAAAAATTTAGTCTCAACTATAACTGACCAGCTAAATTAAATATCAGCCCCATTCTAACAGTAGTATGGAACGCATTGTGGTCTTCTCTATGCTGAAGTATTTGCCCTGCTGCTCCATTAACTTTTGTAGCCTGCCTGAAGCTTTGCATTGCCTGAATAAAAAGAGCTACAAAACTTGAACTATGTGGTTTAAAGATGACTTGAACATGCATTAGTTACATTCAGTAACGCTAATGATAGCAGTGGACACATCTCCTATGTGATACATATAGAGAATCTACTGTGTGTGCTAATTTCTGCATCACAATCTGTAGTTTTTAAGAAACCACTGATTTCACCTGTACATAGGTGAACAGATTCACATATTACCATGTTGTTTTGTCTTCTACTGTAGCATGTCATCTGTGTAAATTTGAAGGTGACTAAGATCCAGGGAGAAAACAGTTTTAGATGACTGTTTTTCTGCTTCATACAATTCTAATGAAGCCATTTCAAGTAATGTTGAGACAAGTTTTAATGTCTCTGAGCATGAAACTTGTTGCTAAATTTAGAACATTGTTTGAACATTGATTGAACATGCATTTCCTTTAGACCATAATGCTACACAGGTAGAATTCAAGAAATCTTTCAGATTCCTTGAAACTTAAAAAAAAAAATAATCTCACAAGTAGTTTAAGCCAAGTGAAAACTGCTTAGATGTGATTATAGGAACAGCAGCACATAACAAGAGACACACTCAACTATCTACAGTTACGTGATCTAGTCAGCTGTAGTTGATTCCTTGAGTATGTTGGAACAGCTTCAGGTGTTTGAGCTTCCAGCCTAAGTGATAGGTGTAACAAAGAACAGATGCTGTGAGGCCATTTCCAAAAGGTTCAAAATTGTTCAGAATTCTTCAATGGAAGTTCAACTAAAGAATACGATGATAGAAATAAAATTGTCTCTAGAAATGCATGTTGTATTTCGCAAATCAAAAATACATATGGAGCAGGGCACTAACTTGCATTTCCCTTTGCATGTATGGATTGCTAGGTGCCACCAAACCATTTCATGTATACCTGTGCACTGAATGCATACTGTAGCTCTTGACTTTTATTTTAATGTAATATCCCATACTTTCCAGGAATGCTGTAGTTGCCTTACCAGCTCTTACAATACTTGATGCACAAGTTAACGCTCTGAGATTTGAGAAGAAACTTATCTCCCTGTCTTGCAGTTCAATTCAAAATGTACAGGTGTGTCAAGCTGACAAAGGTTGCTGAAATGAAGACTAGAGAGAAAGCCAAAGATCTGCTAGCAGTAGATGTAATGCACCTGTCAAAGTTACATTCTACTTTTGTGACTTAATCCCATCTACATTTATTTTGCACCCAATATATTGTCTCTCTTTTTTTTTTTTAAGTTATTACAGTGCTTTTGAAGAAGATAATGTGTTTACATGTCTTGTGATTGCTATTATGATCATAATGCTTTATTCTAATTTAAATGCCTTCCACAGTTTCTACAATTTCTTCCATTTTAAAGTTAAGTGCCACAGCATTTAGTGCTTGGGGTAAAAATAGGAGATACAGAATGCCATAGGAAGTGAACTGCAGGGAAGATGTAGCTTGAATTTATGAATAGCATGTAAACTTAGGCAATGATGTAATTCTCCATAATACAGCAATTAACTGCTGCTCTGAGTGGAAGCACTATGAAATATTCATAGGACCCAAATTTGATTTTCTTTAAAGAGATACCAGTTCCTGACTCTGAGGACAAAAAACTTGGACATTCTTTCTTATCTTGACTACCTCCATGGATAGTTGTTCATTTCCTATTGCTTACTAGCTGTCTTGTTTGGTCTTTTAATTTGCAATCTTAGCCTGTGTTAGAGTTTAAAAATGTCATCATTATTGACATTAGTGTTGAAAAAACATTCCACCTTCACTATGATGTACTGCCCTTGTTCCTGTGCTTAACTGGATTTTTCTATGACTTTTGAATGTAAAATATTTCAATTGTGATTGTCACTATAAAATCCAATTCATATTAAGTTACTGTGTTGAATTCAGATTGAAGTCTTTAGTTCTCATGTACTCATTTCACATCTAGATCCTGAATTGTCCCATAAAAGGGGGGTTGTGTAAACAGCATAGCTTACAGATAAGGAAAGTAAGTAAAACCATGAAATACCTATCTAGAAGAAGACAAGAAATGGAGTTAGGACTAGAATATGAGCCTTCTGTCTATAATTGTTAGCTATCCTTTAGAACATTTGAGAAGATGGATGACATCCCCAAAGCTAATATCAGAAATTCGCCTTGATTCTTTATCACCTTCTTTTAAAAAATAGTAGTTAGAATAATTTTGATCAAAACATACTGCTTCTTGGAAACTCCCAAAATCTGATCACCTCAATTCTGCTCCCTCTGTTTTATCATGGCTTTACCTCATTATTCACAGCCAATATCTCCTGATGACAGCTACATTTATCCCATCCTGCATTACTGTTTTACCATGCTGGCAAGTGCTGAGCCACGAGGTCATCATGATTTTGTTTGCTAAGAAAATATAGTTGGACCCATGAAGTTGCTGAAATTAGCCTCGTGGTGTTTTGTGGAGTTGGTCTTGGCAATGCCTGAGCTATTAAAATGAAAATAATGATAATTAGTAATCCTCTTCAATAAAAGAATTTTGTTAGTACACCAAATATTATATTATATTATGTAGAACAATAGTGGTATAGACAGTGGAAGACAACAATAAAATTTATTTATATCCAGCTAGCCTTAGTCAATCAGAGAAACAGCAGCAGTCATCTCTGGTTTGGCTGTTCTTGAGAAGAAGACATGCACAGTGCCATTCCCCTAGTGCTAAAGAGTGAAAAACCCAATCTAATTAGAAGAAACATGAAATGAGATTATATGAGTCAAGCACATTTAGTTAGCTAGAGAATACAAAAAGGCTT